ACTATTAACCACATTTTAAAATGGCATGTTTAATTATTCATAAAGACTCAAAAACAAGGTGACACCTGGTGCATCAGCTCTATCTGCCGTGCTTATCAAGAGACAGGCTTCGCTACATTAGCTTTAATATGGTAGAGGGACGCTGCAGCGAAGCTTTGTCTCCAAGGATTTCAGGTACTCAAAGAATGACCATGGAGTCCTTGTGATTTTATACATTAGTAATGTTATGACGTTAATTAATACATACACTACTCAGTGACATTATTAGTTGTGTTAAAACTCACATAAGTTGGATCAGCCTGTGATTTAAATTTAGTTTTCTTTGATTTTCAATGTGATTTCTGAATCCAGCCCTCAAAGTGTTGATGAGTTTGGTTTCCATTGACCATTGTTGCGTCGTTTTGTTCACAACAAATGATTCAGTGTACATCAGCAAAGATTTTCAACTTGAGTAATTCATTTATCATGTTCGGATATGTGATTTACGTGTTCCCTTCATTTTTTTTCTGGACGACACAGCTGGTTTGCTCCATGGATGGGGTGGGAGATGGGAAGGAAGAGAACATGGAAAATCGTAACTTTCTTGTAGCTCATAAACACAGACACAGCAACAGCCATGTTTAGTTATATATGCAGACTCCCATTAAGCCTTGCTGCAGAAGTACTTCTGCTCAGCCGCTCTCTGACAGCCACAGCTCCCCTGACATCTCCTTTATGAACCTACATCATTTTAATAAGGTGTAGTTTACTACCTTATCTCTACTTCGGAACAAACATCTATAATGAAAACATTAAATCTATTCCTGGTAAGTCTGGGCTGTTAAAAATGCCAAATATACTTGGCATTATCAGAGAGTGCACAGGCCTTTGGAAAGACATTTATGTATTATGTAATAATTTATTTGAAATAAATAAATAAAATCAGCCTGGAGGAGAAGCTAAGCTTAAAAGAGGTCTAGTGGAAAAAGGTTTTGGGAGTTTGAATGTCAGACTCAAACCAGCTCTGTCCGTTAGAGGCAAACCAGACTTCCAATTACTTTTAAGAAAAAACATTTTTCTGTACACTGAATTCACTTGAACTCATTTCTTCTGCCTTCCTGTCACAACCATGGGAAATATATAATTTATGTGATGCTGTAATTACAACGTGGAGTATTTTCCTTGTTTAGTTTTTTGTCTTTGTGTATACAAGAGGAAAAAAATGAACTGTGAAAAAATGTTTTCCATCTAGCATGCCTTCCAAGTAATTGTATATTGAGAGAAATTACCAGAACTGAGAGCTTTTTGTTTGCGTGTATCTGGTGATAAAAAGCCTCCTTAATTCCCCAACATGTAGTTTAGTGTGAGTGATCGGCTCATTCTGCAACTGTGAAACTCAGAATCGTTTGTCCCCACTAAGAAATGAATATGTTAACACTATCTGATTTACATACTCCTCGCAGGGTTGAGTTTGAAAGGTGGCGTTTGAGTTGAGGAATCATAAATCAGTTGTTTGCAGGAGGTGTGATGTGCATATGTAATATAATCATATTAACAACCTGTTTGTCTTAGCCTGCATGTATTCTTCCAAGGACTCTATAAAATATTGGCTTCATACCGACCACTTAATGCTGCGTGCAAACACTCCAGTTGTGATTAATGTTGGCAGTAAATCTTTCTTGTTTAAATACCTGCAGCAGACTGACCAGGGTCATTGATGTATTTATGAATTACTTTGTGGCATCTGACAGGAAATAATATCGAGCATATGCTGCGTATTCTGCTCAAGTCTAGCACTGGTTTTTTAACCTCTCTTTACTTCCTCATCAGTTCAATGGAGTGGCGTTGGCCGCTCATATCTGCAGCAGGGTGGATTGAATTAAACTCCTGCCCCGACACACATGAAGGTCGATGTCTCTGCTCACATTTTATTTTATTTGTATGTGTGTTGGGGGTGTGTTTTTTCTCTCGTCTTCATTTGGCCGTGGTGTTAAATGAACGCAATAACAATGAACGTGAATGTGATAATGATAATAAGACAGCCGTTGAAGGTTGTGTTGTAAAGATAGCTTTTCTCATCACTCAGTGCCCGTGGGCCTCAGTGTGATTTTATAGCTTTCTCCAGCAGACATTGTTCTGTTTTTTTCAGCATTTGTGAGGCAGGCCTCTTCATTCTGCCTGTGCAGAATGGAATTAATTGAAAAAGAAGCTTTTTGGATTTTATGGGATATATCTTTTAGCTGTAGTTACTCCAGTCATTGGGCATTTGATGATCTGAATGACAAAGATAGTCTCACAAATGTGCATTCTTACGAGTACACCCTTACTTTGTATTCATATAAAAAAGCTTAAAACTTCACCCTGACATTGATAGTTCACTTAGAAATTATCTTCAGCATCCATTTTTTTTAATGGAGGATATGGACAGCAGCCATGTTTGATAATTAATGGTGTCTCTCTATCTCTTGCCTTATTGGTTTTTGCTGATTGCTTAGCACTCTGATTAAGAAATACCATTTCAATTGATGTATCATACTTCCAAGTGTTTTTCACACTTAGACAGCTCCTGGCTCCTTTCACCAACTTGATAATTGTATCGATGATTTATGACCCAGCTTCATTTTGACAGGTTTAAAATAACTAACTCTGTATGTGCTGTGAGTCTGAGATATTGGCTTCTGGTGTGAGATAAACTGAAACATTTTCTTGCTAATCTGTCACATAGTTTATTGTTTCACTTTAATTCAGATTTATGTTTCAGAGTGAGTTATATCTATCTCCTATAAATAAACTGATACATCTGTAAGAAGGGATTGTGTTTCTCATTTAAGACATCATTCAGTTCTAACCTAATAGACACAAACTGTATTTTCTTTCATTGTGGATAAGCTGACTTAATCAGAGGAAGAGGAAACCAAATCTAAATCAGTAGGGAGAAGTCAATGAGGTGTTTAATGATTGAGTTTTGTGTGGAGATAATGTAAGACTTCTCTCATTTCACGGCAAATTACACTTTTTTTTGTTCCTATCAGGGTTTGAAGTCATTTTGTGGTGAAAAACAACAAGAGGAGAGACATTTCAGATTTAGAAAAACAGCCAACGTGAGCTGAGAAAGATAGCAGGTAATGCATGCATTTTCTTTCTATAACTCCAACTCACCAAAGTTGAACTATTAATAGAGAAAACAAGTCTTCTGTTCCATCCTAACTGACAGAAGGTAGTCAGCGGCGAGTTGTTGTAATGGCTGAATGTGTTCAGTTTCTGTCTCGCCTCTGTGAGCAAGAAGTATAGCTTGATAATTAGCTTATGAGCTTACGCAATGAGCGTTCAGTTGATCTTGGTGTTTGTATCCAGTGAACTGTGGCTTTGTAGGGTTGAGCCGATGAGGTGATCAGTCATGTGAGCCTGCTAGTGTTAGCCACGTTCAGCTCCCATGCTACGCAAGGCTGCTTATCTTTTTGCAGAGCTGTTCCCACTGAAGAAAGAGCAAAATCAGCAGCGTGTGGGTAACAGCTGCACCCAGTGTCCTTTTTAGACCTGCTCAGAATCTCTTCACTCTGGGCACTTATTACTGAACCTTCTCAGTCCTTATTGGTCAGCGAGGTGCTGAATGTCGCTGCTCCAGGAGGCAACCAGTCATTTACTAGATTCTTGTCGGATGATCATCACAGAGAAAAGGGAATTTTTGGGAACAGGATCTCCTGGATCTTGCAGCTTAGTGAAAAGAGCAATGAAGCCATTTGACATAACTACCCAGAGTGCATTGCAGAGTTAATTTTATCAATGTAGAAATCTAGTGTATGTTTATGTAAGACATAAAAGATACCAGGGCTAATCCAATAAGGACAAAATGTCTCAGGTACAGTATGAGGTGTAACTTGTAAAAAGAAGGATAGACACTTGTAACCCTTGCAGTTCTCCTTTTTCCCCTGAGGAAGTGGGTCCCTTTTTTCTCCCTCAAGCTTCCTTATGTACTTCTATTGAAGTAGGTACCTGACTACATTTCCCAGAATCACTAAGTAGATCCCCCCAGAGGGCATACGTAAACATATTGTGGGTTGCGTGTAGGTTCAGAGAAAAAGCAGTGATTTGATCCTGGTAAAGGCAGAGTCTGAGGAGGATTCACAGTCTTTGTTGCTGCGATGCTTTGTGGTTATAGCGGCTCTGGGTAAGAATGTTTTGAACCTGATCTATGCAAGAAATCAGTCTTTTATTTACCACATTGAACTTTATTTCTGTGTTCAATCATACCTCAGTCACAGTCCTATAAAGGAAGTTTTTACCAGGATTCTTTTTTTCGTTGCTGGTGCTGAAAAAATGTCATTGTGCAGTTGTACTGAACAGAAGCAGAGACTTTTACACACACACACACACACACACACACACACACACACACACACACACACACACACACACACACACACACACACACACACCGAGCACAAAGAAAGAGATGTGGTGACTTACAAAGGCTGCCACCGCAGACGAGTCAGATGTTTTTTTTAACAAACACTTGTGCTGTTCTTGTATTTGACAATGAAGGCCTTTGAAGTTTCAAAGCCAATGACAACCTTCTCCTTTGTTGTCGTCTTAAAAAGAGCAGAGATTTTAGCTCGACTGATAATTGTAGTTATTTTTTTGTATTTCCACTCAGGAATTAATTTACTACCAGTTCCTGAGAGCTTTCCTAACTGCATTATACCTTCACTTTGACCTTTTCCACAGCCGCATTATCCAATATTGACCCATGATGTTCTCTCAGGACAGATAGAGCCAAACGTGATTCTCTGTGCGGAGACGTTCATCTTTTCTCTCGGCCAAAAATCAACTTAGAAATCTCTTGATGCGGATTGTTCCACACATGAATGGGTCAAGTTCTTTTTGAATGAAAGCATGTCTGATTTTACTCGTCATGAACAGATGGTGAGCTCCAGAACATTAGGGCCAGACTTATGGACATTTTCATTGCATTTTCTGCTTCACGGCCTCTTCATATTCACCAACTGTTACTGTTTCTGCAGGTGCAGACGGAGATACTCCAAAGATCTCATTTGTCTGTGATGAGCATCCTCACCCACCAGAGACCAAAGGTACGGTAAGCTGTGAAAAACTCATTATGCCATGTCCCAATAAACATTTTATGCCACAGACAAACCACACAGAGTGATACAAAAGCACATTATGTTTATGAGTCAGTCATATTCTGTCTCATTATTTAAGTGTTTACACATGAAAAGTGTTTTGGAGCATCACAGATTCAGTAAGTAAGTGTGTGCACAATATGATTATTATCTTTAAAAGTTGAATCACTGTTTTAATAAAAGAATAATGAATAATACTCTCATGGCAGAAAACCTCCACTTTTTCACTTTTAATATAAAGTACTTGATCTTAAGATACACTGTAATCAGTCTGTTCTGTTGGCCTTTTTAAAGGCTTTATATGTGATTTTTTGATCCAGCAGATGTCGCCCTTGAGCCCCAGGATGAAACCAAAACAACTTGCGGTGCATTGTTGTGTTAGCATGCTAATGCTAGTGATCTTTATTATGCTCGTATCTTCACACTGCATGTAAATTTACCCGAAATGAGCGTGATCTAGAAACGCAGTTAAGCAGTGAGTACAGTATGTTAGTCTTCTTTTCTCTAGTCCCTCAATTAAACAACTTTTATACGCGAGGGGAGGAGTCAGCCGGCCATCCTGGCGATGTAAACAAACTGAAGACAGGACTCGGAAAACTCAGAAAACATCACAGACAGTGGGACTCACCCATTGTAGACAGTCATGACTCACAGAGTTATTTTCAAAGGATATACTTGATTTATATTATATTTAAGTGTGAAAAATCGCATATAAAGCCTTTAAGGGCACTCTCACACTAGGCAAAGTTGCTCCATACGGTGCTTAAGCGCGATTGCCCCCATGAAGCATGCTTAGACAGAGTATGCATTTCCAAATCTGAGTGCGCACTAAGTGGGGGGCGACGCACAGAGATACACAAGGAAACCAAGTGAAGGAAACACAAAATGAGGACATATGTTTGAAGAGGCATGAGACATCATTTCCCCCGAAGCGTTTGTGAGGACTGTGTTAGCTGATCGCTGCTAGATCAGCTGTCAGCCGCCTGCAGTGCAGTCATGTTCACTCTGCAGTTCACTCTTTTAACTTGATTAAAATACACATAGTAATGGTATTAATACTTATAAAAGCCAAAAATCATTAAGAATAAACATGTCACTTCATTGGCATGATAATAATGCAAAAAGTGAATGGCTTTTGTGCTCCTTTTGATTTTAAGATAATATGAACATCAAAACCTTAAGACCTCAAATTAAGTGTTTGTTTGATGGTGAATTAGAAAATGAATCAAATATAAAACTTGGGACTGCTGCACTGGATTCATTTTATGAATGTTATGCTCAATATTTCTTTGGTAATATTTTCTTTAATCCCAGCTGGGGCTGCCGACTTTTAAGAACTAAAGTGTGTTTAAATATGTTTCAGCACTCCCCTTACTGTCTGATTTAAGTCCATCTTTTCTCCATTATTACACTCCTGTGGTGTTGTGAAGTTTCTTTACTATGTAATAAGCTGCAGCATCCAATCATTGAGTGGTGTCTAATAAAGGGGGCGTGCAGACTCAAGCAGAAGCTGCTCACATGTACCCTTGCGCATCACTCCTCAGATATCCCTCCTCTCCTGTGAGCAGCTTTAGGAGCTTTGGAACAATTCTCAGTATGACGGCCCCTGAACTATACCTCCATATCTAACGAACAAAAGACTTTCGTAAATCTTAGCTTTACAAAAGCGGGCCAGCAATCTTTAAGAACACTCAGACCTCAATAAACAGGCTTAACTCGGTTGAAATTAAAATGATCTCCCTTTTTTCCAGTTTTAAATTTGCTTCTCAGCATAGAAATGTGAGTCAAACACGGGGACATAGTGCGAAGCATCACCAGCTGTCCATCCATCTATTCAACCTGAAATCCTGTCAGCCATGGTTCGTCCGGGCCCCCTGTCACTAAAGCTTTATTTCCTCTTTGGTGAAGATGCAGCCTGCAGCCTGACGATATCACACAGATTTTTAAGGTCTCACAGTGAGTCTGTTGTCATGTCAGTCTGTCTTATTTAAGAATATCTCCACTTGAGCATCCCCTCGTGCTGCTCGGCCTACATGCGAGTGCTGCCACTTTGATTTTTGTATCGTGTGTCTGTGCTGCAGAGACGTGCGGTCAGGGGAGGCAGAGCTGTCTTCATCAAAAGTAAAAAACAAATAATGATTAAATATATATATATATATATTTCTACTGATCTGTGTTATAAATGTTATTTCTGTAGGATTCAAAAAATTTCAATCATTTTCATGATCAAAATTGCTGAATTTGCATATTTCCGGCTGGCTCCGCCTGAGACTTGCGAAGTGAGGCAGCAAGGAGTTGTGCTTCATCCCAGATTGCGCAATCCCTCACAAACTGGGTCGAGCGTATGCCTTTTTCTTTTTTACTGTTTGTCACCAATGTAATGTTTGTAGACACTTTTATTATACGTCCTCACTAATATATTTCACGTGTGTTTATAACATGTTTAATCTTTCTGATTTGACATAAAATCGCTCTGAAAAAGCATGAGGTGAGGCAGTCAGTGCCTCTGCCTCAACTGAAGGGGGGCGTGCGTCAGGTTGCGTGAGGCTCATGAGGCCAAGAGTTTATGCTTGTTTTGATGTTGCTCCTCTTCGATGCAGAATTTTTATTTCAAAATTTTTCTCTGATTGCAAAAATGGAAGAGGAAGATTTTATATCTAAGCTTATAGATTTCTCAAAACTGGACTTTCAATCAAAACGTGAAGTGATAAATAATGGAAGACTTTTAAAACTAAAAGAAGATAATGAGGGTGTTTACAACAGTCACGGATATTTGAGTCCAGAAGGATAGGTGAATGGACTTCATTTACAAGTAAAGGTAAGACCATGAATACACCGCAGAATATAGGCCTACATTTATTTTGAGTATGAATTGTGGAATTGCAATGGAAAAAAAATTCTGAGGCGCTATAAATTTAATGTTCTTCCTTGGCCAAATATGCACCTTACCTCTATGTGTGTGTAAATAATGCTGATATGAGATATGAAACACAACCAGTAGTCAATATGCAAGCTGCCAATTGAATGTTGAGTTTAAGCTACTCTATAAATGGGTTCATATATTTGTAAATCTGACTCTGAATAAGTCAGTGCCTCACCAGCCACGAACCTCATCGCACGTCACTGCTGTGCTGATGCCATGGAGAGACGCTATGACATGACAGTTATCGCAAAGCTTGGTGTCAATGCTGTCCTATGATCTCTATTAAATGTTGTTATGGCTCTTAATGTCCCAGACACTCTTTAGCTTGAATAAAAAAATGGTGTCTTCAAGAAGAAACATCTTCTTGTTATATAATGTTGTTTTTTTTTATCAGTTCTTACATCCTGGCAAAAAGGCATTCCTCTATTTCAATGTAACATACACACTGGTGCAGATAAGATGCATAAATTAGCCTTTCGTGCTGTATTATGCAATATCTATGATTCATCCAAAAAACAACTGTTTGCTGCTTCTTCCTCTTTGCTTTTCCAAAACTTGACTGAACATTTAAACATTTTTAGCTGACTTGTGCTGTTTTTCTTTCTTTTTTTACACAAAAATCTGATTTCCTTTCCTTTTTCCTTCTGGGTCGAGCTGTTGCACAGAGCCAGCAGCTTCCTGTTCAGCATCAGTTCTATGACACACTGACATTGTGAGCAGCATTAGTCTATCTATGTGCTCTGTCAGTATTCCAAAGATACATTTGAAAGGAAGCAATTTCTATGCCTGCCAAGAAAACTCCTTTTTAACCTTCATAACATCGCTGAGATGGGATGGACCGAATGTCTCCTCCTGAAATTAATTTCCCGGCAGAGACTCTTATCAAAGAACTCAAACTGTCCGTAGATGATAAGAAGGTACATCTGTCCGCAGGATTACTCTAATTGCGAGTGTGATCCGCCAAATTTTAGTTGGATATCCTCCTAATGTTGACATAAGCCTCAATGCCCATCTGCAGAGTGCAAGCATGTCTCTTTCCGTACATATGTAGTGGACATTAGATGTTTAATGGAGTTTCACACGGCTGATCATCAGCATGTCTAGATGTGCCAAGGCTCTGCTGAAAGGAAGAGAAAAAGTGAAAGTGCATTTTTTTTACCAAACAGAAGCTGAGAGGCTGCTGTCATTTCTGTGAATGGTTATTACAGAAGTCTTTCAGCAGAGATGCAAGAGCTTATACAGACATTAAGTAGCTCAGCAATTAAGGGCATGCTACATGTCATTTGCTGCCCTACATTGAGCAGAGCTCTTGACAAGAAAAATGTGTTGTTTTTTTTTCAGCTGCTGTTGGGTTTGAATGATCCAGTCGAGAGGCTCTGATCACACCTCTTGTTCTGCAGGTTGTGAATTTGTTTCACATGGCTAAGACACACATGTTGTGCAGATGTCAAAGCAATGCTGTAGAAGCGTCACAGTGGTTAACTCAGACTAGTAAAATGTACATTCCTGCACCATATGTGTTTTCCCTCAACTGTGACCCAAAAAGCTGCTTTCAAAATCCTCTACCATTGCTCAGGAAAATCAAATCCGCTTGCAGCTTTGACTCCTCCTGCTCTCTAAAATGATCAGAATCACATCACCTCAATCTGATCACAGAACTCCAAATACTGCGTTTAGTAAAAATGAAAGCTCGTAAAATTGAATTCGAGGTGGCTACAGAAGGTTAAGGGTTGATCATGTGAGCAGGAAATCTGTGCAGTGTGCAGTGTGCAGTAAGCGCCCCCGGTGCCCGGTTGTCTCAGGAGTACTCGAGGTTCCAGATGAGCAGGTGTGGTTAGCTTTGGTAGAGCAGCTGAAGAAATAAAAGAATCCTCCTCGATACATACAGTACCAGCCTTCTCCAAATATACTGACCTTCTGTGGAGAGAACAGTTGATGAAAAGACAAAGAAATACGCGAGAGAACAGTGGATGAAAACGCTGCGGCTCTCTCACAGGAGCTGCTTCAGATGCTCCTGCAGATTGAT